TACATTACTCAAAAATAATTTGTTTCAATTTTAAATTGAAAATAAAAAATAAATTATTAGAACATACTGCTGAAAACTACGTATTGAAATTTTTTTTTTTCTAGAAAATAAACTTTAGATTAGTGTATTAGAATATGTTATCTTTAAATTATTAGAGTTTTGGACAAAAAAAAAATCGTTGAAGATAGAGTGGGCCAATAAAGAAGGTTGAAAATGATGTGCACCATTAAAAAAAATTAAAATTTATGAAGCTTTTAATATGGGGATGAAACTGCAAATGGTTTTTTTTTTTTTTTAAAAAAAAAAATTTGGACAACTTTTATCAATTTTATAATTTATAAGAATGTTTGTTTATAATATTATAATTTGGAAAAGAAAAAAAATTACTCTCTAAAAGTAAGAAAAACAAACAACACTTTGTTGACAGGTCGCTGACTTATCATGACTAAAATGATGTATATCTTTGATTTTTCAATTTTTTTAAAAAAATTCTTTCAAGGAAAATATCAACGGTTCAAATTTAGTCTCTTATTGTAGTCGACCATAGTCGTCCGTAGTCAACCACTACGTTAGTTACATCTAATGGTTTAGTTTTAACTTTTAGTTGTTTATTTTTTAGTTTAACTTGTGATAATTTAATTTTGTAATTTTCCTTAACAATGTACAAACTTTTAATTTATATTGTTAAATTCTAATTTATTTATTTTTTTTGAAAATTCTGATTTTAATTATATTATTGTTATTGCTATGTATATATTTTTTTAAGCATAAATAAATAAATTGATTGCTCCAGGTTCCCTCTAGGTTTTCTCCTTGGGAGGGTTTTTTGGTTCCCTTTAGGGTTTTCCCTTGGGAGAGTTTTTCTAGCCTCCATTGCTAGATATGTTCAGGCTTTTTTTTTCCTTCATTCTTCTCCTTTTTTTTTCTTTTCTCTTTCATCTCTTTTCTTTTGATCTCAATTGTAAATTTTTGTACGGGCTTTCACCGGCGGGTTTACCGGTGGTAAGCCCCAAAAAACTTTTTAATTGCTTTCAATAAATGGACCCCATCTTTATGATGGGGTTTATTCAATTAAACTTATTTTTTTGTTTGTTCGTGTGCTAAAGATTGAAGATTTAGGGTTTCATCGTCTCCAAAAGTATCTAGAAGGCCTTATAAGAATCTTCATCGAAACAACTACTCATATGTGGATCTCATGCCGAATTAGAGCTAACTTAGAAATTGTATTGATTAAGATCAAGTTTTTATTAAGGTGACATTTGATCGAATCTGTGACTTAACTAGTTCTAAGGTGATTTGTACTTGTATTGGAATTTTATATTTCCTAGGAATTGTTTGTAAGTGCCGTTTTGCTATCTTTCATTAATGAATTCCTTTTTCTTCTCGTTAGAAAAAAAATTGTATTATTATTATTATTATTATTATTATTATTATTATTATTATTATTATTATTATTATGATTGCTATTTCTATTATTATTATTATTGTTATTATTATTATTATTATTATTGTTATTATTATTATTATTATATTATTATTATTATTATTATTATTATTATTATTATTATTATTATTGGATTAGGTATATGCATTGTGCGGTATTAGGTATAAGGAACCGTGACATTAGGGTATTTGCACCGTGGCATTAAGTATGCAAACCGTTGCATTAGGTATCATAGCTAATGCCACGACTATAATGTTATCGTTGGATCAGGTATTGATCTAAAGCCACATATCATTAATGCCATGAAATTAGGTGTCAATTGGCGTTGCATTAACCTACTAAACGCCAACAGATGCCACGGTACATAGCTGTTGCATTAGACCTAATGCCACCGATTTTGACGCCTTATGCAATGGATTTGAGGGTTGTAATAGGTAAAAAATTTAGTAGTGTTATTTCTTTCACTTACTCTCAAATGAACTCGTAATTCGAAGCTTGTTAATTTACTTGAATAAATCGAGCTTGTTTACTTGTTTTACTCAAGCTTAGCGGCTCACTCTGGTTTTTTTTTCCTATTGTTGTTGTTGTTGTACGTATTCTTGCTCTGTAATTCATTTTGAAATCTAATAAAGTAATTAGAGGTAATAGTAATCTTAGCTACCTCTTGCTTTATATATAATTATAATACAATAATAATAGTAATATTAGAAAAAAAAATACTCTGTTAAAGTTAAAGTAGTACATGGTACTATCGTTGATGTATGTTAATCTATGCTTATGTAATTTATCTAATTTATTAAAAAAGTAATTTTAGGGTCTATTTAGTTCACCTTACGGAGTATTCTTGTTATAAGACAAATTATTACCATTTGGGGGCTACACAAAGTTAAGTATTTTTTTTATGCATGAAAATTAGTTAAGATCATGAGATGAGACTGTGAAAAATTAATGGGAAATTCTCATCGATGACCCTCAACTTTTAGTACGCACAAATGGTGACCCTCTTGAAAATCAATTTTATAAAATCACCTTAGTAAAAAAATTTATCTCACTTCTAATCTTATTTCATTAAATAGTAACGTAAAATTAAGGAAAAATTTCCCGGAATAATCCCACCTTTAGGCCATCCGCTGAAAATAATCCCACCTTTGGATTATTTTTAAATAATTCGACCTTTATACTCAATTCGCTCAGAATGGTTCCAAGTGATCTGTGGGGTTGACCCGAACCCAAAATCTTGGGCTAAGGTTGAACATTTCTTAACCCGTAATCTAAAATGACTCTATCCGAAATGACTCATGACCCGACCCGATTGACAGTCTACACACAATATTAGAATTAAATTAGATTGTGAAGTATATTATTTGAATTGATTAGAATATATTACAAATAGATGTTGTAAATTTTGTACTACTTTCTTTGCTCCAATAAATTTAAATGATAATAATTAAGAGTTATTATATAATACTATTTTGAATAAAATTATAATTCAATTTGTATTTATGAAATATTCGTATTTTATTGAAAATAAAACTCTAAACTAACAATTTTATCCTAAAATTCTATCCAAATTTGATTGAAAATAGAATTCTAAACTAATTTTTTTTATCCTACAAAGTCTATATAAATCTATCCAACATGGTGCGACACTTGGCGAAAAACTGAAATGCCAAGTGTCAATATATATATATATATATATATATATATATATATATATATATATATATATATATATATAATGAGAACCAAGGCTAAAATAAGATCTAAGAACTAATCTAGCCCCTTAGATCATGTTAATCAGACGGTTCACATGTTTCCCGTGTCGTTAATGACATTTTTGTAATATTTTAACTTTATAAAGTAGTTTCTAGTTTTATTTCTGAAAAGTAAATGAAAATTTAGAATAGCAAATAAAATTAGTCTTAAAGTAATTGAAATTGCCTTAAAAGTTAAAAAAACTTGAAAAAAGTTTTAAAACAGCAAAATTAGGAGAATGTCATCAATGAGAACGAGTGCAACGTGAGCCACTAGATGGAGTGCGATCAATGACTAAGATTAGTTTCTAATTCCTATTATTCACCTTGGTTCTCACATGATCTCAATTCTAAATATTCATTTCAAATAATCTATTTTCGAGAGGGGCATTATGTGTGCATAGCAGAAGTTGCGAGTTGTTAAGATGGAGAAAATATTGGAGAAAACGGCTTGCCTTCTGTATTCCATTAATCACAAATTTATACCCCATACAATAGAATACCTAACTTGCCTAAAACTCCCAAACAAGATAAACTTTCCAAATATATAATATTAACATATATAACAAACCAAACTCTAATACTCCCCCTCAAGTTGGAGCATGTAAATCACGAATGCCCAACTTGCGTAAGAGAAAACCAAACTATTGTCGTCCAAGAGCCTTGGTGAGTATATCTGCCAACTGATTACCTGTCAAAACATATGAGGTAGAAATATTACCGTTTATCAACTCATCACGAACAAAATGACAGTCTATCTCTATATGTTTCGTTCGTTCATGAAACACTGGATTCTTAGCAATATGAAAAGCCGATTGATTATCACAAAACAACTGCATAGGCTTTGAATGCTTAACACCAAGAACAAACAACAACATTTTCAACCATTTCAGCTCACGAGAAGTGAGAGCCATAGACCTATATTCGGCTTCAGAAGAAGATGTGGCTACAGTAGGCTGTTTCTTAGTCTTCCAAGAAACAGGGGAACGACCTAAGAAAACAAAATAACCTGACAGGGAACGCCGACTCAAGGGGGACGCCGCCCAGTCACTATCACAAAATGCTGTCAATTGTAAATCCTTCGTAGGTCGCAACAAAATACCCTGTCCCGGACTACCCTTAAGATAGTGCAAGACACGTATGGACGCATCCCAATGTGAAACCTGCGGTACACTAAAAAACTGAGCCAAAATATGAACCGAATAACTCAAATCCGGTCGAGTAACTGACAAGTATACCAAACGACCAACCAAACGACGATACTGTTCCGGATAAGCAAGCGACTCATCGGAAGCATGGGCAAGACGATGATTCTGCTCCATCGGAGTATCAATGGGTTTACAACCCAACATTCCTGCTTCAGTCAAAATATCTAGAGCATACTTTCGTTGAGAAAGAAAGATGCCCTCAGGACTTCGAGCAACCTCAATGCCTAAGAAGTACTTAAGCAAACCTAAATCCTTCATATAGAAGCATTTGCTCAAATAGGCTTTAAAACGAACAATGGCATCATGAGAGGAGCCTGCAATGATCAAGTCATCGACATATACAAGAACATGCAAAGAGATACTGCCCTGTACATAGCTAAATAGAGAGTAATCAGCATGAGTGTTTTTAAACCCGAAACCTCGCAGAGCACTTGACAGTTTTGAAAACCACTGTCTTGGGGCTTGTTTCAAGCCATATAAAGATTTCTTCAACCTGCAAACTTTTCCAGGTGTCGGAGTACCGTACCCAGGAGGAAACTGCATGTATACTTCTTCATCCAAATCACCATGAAGAAATGCATTATGAACATCCATCTAATGTAACTCCCAATTTAAAGACACGACAACGGCTAACAGAATACGTACCATAGTCATTTTTGCAACTGGAGCGAACGTCTCATTATAATCAACACCTTCAACCTGACGGTTGCCATAAACAACCAAACGAGCTTTGAGACGTTCCACTTTTGATTTGTCGGTGTACTTGATTTTATACACCCAACCACTACCAATAGCTCTCTTCCCTGGAGGAAGGTCTACAACAGACCATGTGCCATTGCGTTCTAGAGCATCAATTTCATCTTGCATAGCCTTATGCCAACCGACGTCTATAACCGCCTCTTTGAATGAAGACGATTCCTTTACCTTAGTGATCGTTGCCAGAAAACACCTATGTCTGTTAGAAAAATTATTATATTCAACATGACAAGCTATAGGGAAAGGTTTACCTGAGGAATGTGATTGAGGAGGGTCGATATTTGTCGTGGAGGGGTCTATATTTTCAGTATTGATAGTATGAGTAACATAATTCCGATGCCACGAAGGAGGTCTCTTTTCACGATGCCCACGACCCAAATTATTATCCGACGAACTCCCCCTCAAATATTCCGGGTTTATGGAAATATTACCACCGTCTATTTCGCTCTCAAGAACAATACCCGAGCTAAAATGTTGATTTTCAACCTCATCGGAGCTCACCGGAACTTGCTCCGGCGAGGCAGCCACCATCGACGGCTGGACAGGTGGCTGGACTGTCGCCAACCGCTGCTGGGTGGTGGCAGGCAAAAGCAGCTGGTCAGGGCTGGCAGTCGCGGCCTTGTTGTTGCTGCTGGCAGGCCTGCTGCTGCTGGCCAGACCTGCGGGCACAGGAAATCCTGCGGGCTGATCCCGCGGCTTGGCAGCAGCCTTCGTGGAACTGCTCGCAGGATCCTGCGGGCGCAGGCTGATCCCGCGGCTGGGCAGTCTTGATGAGGAAGGAGCAGCACCCGCAGGACAGAACCGCGGGGTTGGCTGTGGGAGTGCCTTCCTCGGCCGGTGCACGTCTCAAATGCACCTCTCATTCCCCTAAACCGTCACCATCAAAATCCTCTCACAATGGGGGATTTGCAAAATATTTTTCCCACAACAAACGCCGTTCATCCGGAAGAGACTCAAGATATGGAAATTTTTCCTCGAAAAATTGCACATCCCGACTTACAAAAAATTCATGCGTCTCTAAATCATAAAGACGCCAAGGACGGTTCGCAGCATAATCCAACAAAAATGCATTTTCGGGAACGAGAATCAAACTTATCTTTAACCCAAGGACGGTTCGCAGCATAATCCAGGCAACCAAAAACACGCAAACTGTCATATGAAGGCAATTGACCAAATAGAAGCTCATGAGGGGTTTTACCTTTCAACACTGGAGTAGCAGTGCGATTAATGAGATGCACCGCAGTCATAACACACTCACCCCAAAAATACTTGGGCAACTTAGCTTGAAACCGAAGAGCACGAGCCACATTCAAAATGTGACGATGTTTACGCTCAACTCTACCATTCTGCTGAGTCGTGTCAACACACGACGTTTGTTGTAAAATGCCCTTCTGTGCAAAGAATGACCCCAAACTTAGAAATTCTTGGCCATTGTCACTACGAACCACCTTCACTTTCTTACCAAACTAAGTCTTTGCCATAGCACAAAACTCACGAACTAACTGAGAAGCCTGATATTTACCAACCATCAAAAACACCCAAGTAGCACGAGAAAAATCATCAACAATGGTTAGGAAATAACGAGCATCAGAACTAGAAACAATCTTATTCGGACCCCAAATATCACAATGAACTAAATAAAAAATTCCAGATGTTTTATTCATAGTTAACGGAAAAGAGTTTCGGGGTTGCTTCCCCATAAAACAAATGTCACAATCAAAAGAACAAACAGAGTGACTATTATGACTACTAGAAACTCCCGGAAGAGAGCTCACAACTTGCATTGACGGATGCCCGAGACGCCTATGCCATAACAAACTCGCATCTGAAATAACCACTTTGTTTGCTTGCAGATTCCGAGCAAGAACCGGACGAAAAATATAGACCCCATCATATTGGACCCCTGCTCCAATCAGGTTCCTCAAACTGTGGTCCTGAATAATGCATAGCTTGTCAGTGAACATAATAAAATAGCACTGTTTTTCTAACAATTGAGACACAGATAACAAGTTGCATGTAAGAGTAGGAACATATAAAACATTATCAAGAGTTAAATTATCAGACAGAATAACTCTTCCTTCCTTCGTTGTTGTCGTACTCTTCCCATTGGGTAAACCAACAGGCGAAGAGATGTCATGTAAATCAGTGAAAAGATCAATATTACCACACATATGATTTGAAGTTCCAGTGTCAATGAGCCAATCAATGGAATTATACGTACCAATATGTTGCCATCTAATGAAGAACCAGACTTGGCACCCTTTACCGTAGACATGAGTTCCTTCCATTGAGCATCAGTAATCGTTGGAACACTCCCACGATCAGAATCAGAAACCGGCTCATTATTACCACGAGAATTTCCAGCAGCACCAGCAAACTCACCCTTGCCCTTACCAGAAGACCGACCACCACTGCCACCACGCCCCCCACCCGGGAAGCCATGAAGCTGATAACAATGGTCCTTATCATGACCAGACCGCTTACAATAAGTACACTCAATCCGTTCGAAGGTTCGACCTGAAGCCGTACCTGTTGCATTAAAACCAACAGTCGTAGAAGAAGAAGAGGTCTCATGTGCCTCAGACACAGAATGCTTACGCTCATCAGCAACAACTTTAGCATAAGCAGCATTCATAGAAGGTAAAGGGTCACTCATCAACAAAGTAGACACCACAGAACCAAACTTCTTAGGTTCCAAACCAAGATAAACTGATGCAACAACTCATTCTCATGCAACTTAGCATATTCTTTCGCAGCGGAACAAGTACAAACAGGCAATTTCACATAACTAGACAACAAATTATGCAATTTATTCAATTCACCATAATAAACAGCAACAGAGCGACCACGTTGTTTACAATCAGCAATATCATGTTTCAATTCAAAAATACGAGGACCGTTACCAAGAGAATAACGATCACGCAAATCATCCCATAAAGTTTTAGCATCATCAGGAATACTAAAAGTAGAACGAATAGAAACATCAAGAGTATTATAAATCCAAGCAACAACAGTAGAATTAACAATACCCCACTGCCGAAAAACAGGATGCTTAAGATCGGGTTGAACAATAGAGCCATCGACAAACCTAAGCTTGCTCTTGGACCGAAGATTGTTGCGAATTGACCTCGACCACTCTTCATAGTTGTCGACAGTAAGCAACACCGGACATATCACCAATTGAGAACCTTCACTCGGATGAAGATAATAATCGGTGAAAGGCTCATACTTAGAAGGAGGAGGAGGGGGCGTTTGATCATTACCACCAGCCATCACACATGTGAGACAATAAAACAAAGGGGCAACACACTACGGGCAACACACTCGACACCTTGCAGCACCTACCTAGCACCACGCACAAGACACCAACACCATACAACACCACACGCACCTTGCAGCACAAGAACAGGAGCAGCACACAAGCACCACACCACGAGAACACCACGCAACAATGCAGCACACTCCAGCACCTAGCAGCACGCAAGAAGATGCGCACCACACACAGGCACAAGCAGCGCCTTGATGAAAACACCAAACCCAAACCGAGCAGAAATTAGGGATTGAAGAACCCTGATTCCGTAAAAAAAAATAAAATTGAACTTTGTAAAATATGTGAAAAAAGAAAAAAAATCGAAGCCTAAGCTCACAAACAAATTTAATTTGCGGAATTAATGAGAAATCAAACCAAGGATCGAAAAATTCTCTAGAAATTAGAGAGGCTGTGATACCATGTTAAGATGGAGAAAATATTGGAGAAAACGGCTTGCCTTCTGTATTCCATTAATCACAAATATATACCCCATACAATATACAAAAAGACTTGCGTGGACCTGGTCCACAATAATATTATTGTAGACCCGAGGTCTATACACACGCAACTGACATTATATTGAACATAGTGACCATTATTTTTAACATAGTAACCTTATTTTTAACCTAGTAACCTTTATTAAAACTACTACAACGTTTAATAATATTGTGAACTTGAAATATGACGCTATTACCCTAATTTTAACATAGTGGCCTTTATTATTCATATTGATCAGTATATAAAATATTTCATTACAAAAATAACCACTTAGGCATATATATTACCAAAATAAATTTTTATTTCATTATAGTGACCTTTTTTTTTTAATTATAGTGACCCTTTTTTTTTTATTAATAAAACAACCATACTTTCTCTAATGTTAGCGGTCCACAATAAATTAGTGTGAACCAGGTCCATTTAAGAATTTGTATACAATATAATACCTAATTTGCCTAAAACTCCTAAACAAGATAAACTTTCCAAATATACAATATTAACATATATAACAAACCAAACTCTAATACGGGTCACCATTGAGAATCTGCCTTCAATATATTGTGGTTAATATTTTGTCACAATATATTGTATTAATAAATCAAATTTTATAAGCATTTAAATTACAACTACTAGTATATCTTTTCTGTATTAATAATGTGGATATTATCAACAACTATATCTTTTCTGTTTTGACATAGACGCAAAATTACAACGGGCCTTTCACAAAATTACAAGTAATAACGAAATGAGATGTCGCAACAATCACTAAATTGCATAGGATCCCACATCAAGAAACATGCCGTTAAAAAAGAATAAAAGCTAACTAGCGTTCTTAATTCCTATTCGTATATTTCATATGCCTATATATTAGCCCACACCTTATTTAGCCATAAATCAATGAAGTATCAATGTGTCGTTTATAATTCATCACCTCTTAGAATTTATTTATTATTTTTTTTACTTTTACCTCCTTGCATCAAATTAAAGACTAATTATAAATTCATCAATATTTCTAACAAAATGAGTAACATAAAAGTGAAGAAATCAGCCATGGTGCGTCCAGCTGAGGAGACACCAAAAGGTAGTCTTTGGCCATCAAAGTTAGACTTGATCATACTCCAACCTTACTCACACACTAATTAATGCTATCAAAGTTAGACATGATCATATTCACACAAAATTAGACATGTGCTATTTTGTACATCACATGTATTAATCCCCACGAAAATGACCGACGACTAATGAAAGGTAACCCCTCTAAACAACTTTCCTTATTCTCCATATAGCTTTGATTTTGTTCAATAGATATTCAGACTACAGGTAAAAAAATTATATTGGCTTTTATTAATACTCCCTCTATTTTTAAATACTTGTTCTATTTTTCTATGCACTGAGTGTTAAGAGAACTTCGGGAAAGTAACACTTCCTCCGTCCCCAAAAGTTCGACTCTTTTGGCTTAATTTTAGTCACAAAATTTATTTTAAAATCACGATAAATCATGCATCGCACGGATTTCATCTAGTATCCACCATTTTACAACAATATTTGTGCAATATTGGCTTCTCCATATAAAATTTTGTTTTCTCATGTATTTTTAATACTTTTTCTCTCAACTCTTTTACAAATCCAATGTAAATTTATATTTCCAATATGTTTTTACTTATTTATTTTACTTTCTTAATACCCGCGAAATCAACGCAAAATAGTCGTTTTTGCGGAGACAGAGGGAGTAAAATACATAAATAGTGGGATAAGTGGAAGATAAATCGGAGGGAACAGAATACAAAAGTAATAAATTGGGTCTTACTAGTTGAAATAAATGAATTAAATATTACTCCCTCCATTTCATAATGTTAGTCCCATATAAAATCAATCACATAAAATAAGAAAACAAGTATATTTGGAATCTAACATTAAAGTACAACATAATTCATAATTAGTTTACCTTATTTAACTTTTTTGATTTTTTATTAGGAAAGCACAAGTCATAATTGCATAATTTAAGGTAAAAATTTCCTTATTTAGAGTTATATCATTAATCCACAATCAATTGATTCCAAAAAAATTCAAGATATAAATGAAATATATTCAATGTGGGTAGATCTTTTTGAAATGTCCAAAATAGTATATGGGACTAACATTATGAAACGAAGGGAGTATAAAAGTTTTCCAAATAAGAAAAAAGAACAAGTATTTAAAAACCGCTGCAAAATAAAGTGGAGCAAATATTTAAAAATAGAACAAGTATTACGGTTTTCACTTATCTTAACAGTAACAATTTGCACTTTAAAGCATTTATTAAGCAAATTTAGACTCGGCTGATTAAATTTTTGATTTAGAATCTTAACAATTAAATGGGGGTGATTGAAGGTGACGACACTGCTATGGTTTTTTTTTAGTTTATTAAATTGTTTTATATTAGTGATATTTTAATTTTTTTTTTTTCTTAAGTGGTGTTGTGTCTCCGTCTCAATTGACATTGTCTTTTAACAAAGTACACTAATTATTCCTCAATAAAAAAAAAACCTACATGTAGAAGGCCGCTTTCCTCAAGATCATATGTAAAATGGTACGTTGTTTCCATTTAATATAAACACTAATCTTAGAGACACAAAAATGTTTCAAATACTCTCTTCGTTTTTAAATAGTTGTTCTATTTCTCCATGCGCGAAGTTTTAGGAGAAATTGGAGAAATAAAATATGGAGATAGTGGGTATGGGTGAGCAAACCGGGTACCCTGTCAAAATTTTAGGACCCGGACTTGGAATTGGTTGGAACCGGAACCTAAAATTCGAATCCAGAATTGGAATTGGTTCAATCGGGTCCGAAAATTTAGGAATTGGTATTGGAACCACCGGGTGCCGGTTCCGGTTCTTATGTATGTAATTGTTAAAATATAATACAAATTATAATTCTTATTTTAGTTAGGTTCATTTTTAGCATTTAATACTTATATTTATAAATGCATTAAGCTATTTGTATTTATGTTAGGTATTAATAATACTTTTTAAATTTACAAATTAGACACATTCATCATACTTTTATTATTTAAAATTTATTTAGTTTAACATATATTAGGCAACCGGGTCCTTAATTTATTGCCCAGAATTGGAACCACCGGGTCCAATTCCGATTCCAGACCCGCCGGTTCCTAACCGGTTCCGGTTCCAATTCCGGATACCCGAAATTTTTGCTCACCCCTAATAGTGGGTAGGTGGAAAAATAAAAAAATTGTAAAAAGTAAAAGTAGAGAATATTAGAGAGGAGATAATATGATAATAATAATACATGATTTATGGTGGGTCCACTAGGCGAGATAAATTAATTTAATATTATTAAAATTTTCCAAATAAAAAAAATTGAGCAAATATTTAAAAATGGTTGAAAAATAAAAATAGAACAAGTATTTAAAAACGGGAGTAAATATCTAATTAAATTGTGTGTACGTAGTCTTGTAAAGATAAGATGGGACACAAGACATAAATCGTTGTGCCTACCATTCCTGCGAATGAATAACAATGGGACAAGTGATTGAACAAAACATAGGTCCACCATCCCATCCAAAATCTAGGTCTACCATCCCATCCAAATTTGATTTCGTACATACTTTTGTGGCCTACCATTCCTGCGAATGAATAAGAGCCATTTATTCCATTTAAATAAATGCCTCGTGAATCATGCTACATACCACAAAGATTTGCACGATGTGACAACTTTTCCCTCTTCTCCACATGTTGCACCCAGTTGTTGGTTCCATCTATCTCACCCGATAAAAAATTATTATGCAAGATTTTCACTTGTTCTTTTAAGGTCCCATTCTTTAAAGCTGCTCTGCTCTGCAGTGGCGGAGCCAGAATTTCTAAGTGAGGGGGACCAAGATTATACCTACGTATTACATTTATTTTAAAAAAAAAACAAATTTTATTAGATACAAGATTTGGTCCCTTGACAACTTTCATACTATCACATGGAAAAAATCAACTCCTCTACACCAAAATTAGTGACAATTAAGAGTAAATATAATTAATATCTTGAGCCAAGGGGGAGGCCAAGGCCCCCGCCAACCCCCTGGCTCCGCCCTCGCTGCTCTGCTCTGCTTTGCTTTGCTCTGCTTAAATCAAATTTGCCATGCTCTGCTCTGCTAAAAAGAAGCCGTTCTGCACTGCTTTGCTATGCTCTACTCTATTTTCAAATAATAATTAATAATAATTAATATTCAATAATAATAATTAATATTGTATTAATGATAATAATTTATTATTTTGAATAATTATAATAATTACTAATATTAAATAAAAAATTAATAATTATTAATATTTATTAATCATAATAATAATTAATAATAATAGTTATCATTATTAATATTTAATAATTCAAACTATTAATAATTAATATTTAATAATATTATTAATTAATAATTTCTAATAATTATAACAATATTTTCAAAAAATAAATAAATAATAAT